CCCCGAGCAGGGTGGGCAGCCGCGTGCTGACGTCATCCCAGCGGGCAGTGACGGCGCCCCCTTCCACCGCCGCGTGACCCCGTTACGTCGCGACGTCACCCTGCCACGACTCAGGGTGTTCCTGATGTGGAACCGTGGGGGATGCGGGCGGGCGAGTGGGCACCCGTCCCAGCCCGTCTCAGCGCCGGCAGCCCGGGCCGCGCCGGCCTGGGCGGCGCCCCGGGCCGGGGGGGGGCAGGTAAGCCTCTGCCCTGTCCCACCCGCCCTCCAGCGGGCAGCGGAGTATCCTCCCCCGTGGCCGGGCGCTGAAGGAGCTCGCTGCACCGCTATGGGCACCACGTGCGATCTCTGGGACAGGCCTGTCCACAATGAGGCGGGGAGCAGTGGGAGATGGTACCCAGGAGCAGGAAGGACGGGGTTTGGAGGCACTGGCCACATCTACTTGGACCGTTGCTAGTGCCCAGTCGGTCACACACAAGGCACGCGGTACAAAAGTGCAAAATAACTGCACGGTAACCAGGGTTACTGCGCGGCAGCGTTGCCAAACGGCTTTTAGCATCATCGAACTGCGCAGTGGCTCATTACTACTTGGGCTTTGTGCCACCCCAGTGCTACGGCGCGGTAGTAACGAGTCACTGCACAGTCAGCGTCTTGTGTAGACGCAGCCACTGGGTACAAGACCAGCCTCTGGCAGAGCTCCAAGTTGTGCTGCTGTTCAAGTAGGGGCAGGGGGGCAGGGGCGTGTGGACCCCGCTCCAAAGAGCTCTGCTGTTCAAACCTCAGTTTTGTTTCAGCTCAATGGAGAGAAATAGATGCAGACTTATGCCCTGTCTAAGCTAGAAAGTTGTACCACTTTAACCACCAGGGCATAATTTCGCTGGTTGATCCAGGGATGCCGCTGTGCTGGTGTATATATAGATGCTTTGTGGCTGTCAGCTGGTATGGGAAAAGGCAGTTAGCCATATCTGTAGAAGACCCCTCTATGCCTGTAAAACTGCCAAACTAAGGGGGAGGAGGCTGCACCGCTTGAACTCCGCTGGTACAACTATCCAAAATAGTTACGTAGTGCGCGCGCACAGTCCCACTCGGGGCAATGCTCACGTGCTCTAGTGACATTCTGGCTCCTGGCCCTTCCACCTTCCAAGATGAGGTTCAAATTGCCATGCTTCTTGGTGTCTTACTCTCCAACCAAATCATAAAGTCCAGGGTAAACAAAACATCCAACAGCCATTGATCCCATGCTGAGTCTTCCCTCTCCCATCAGCGTGTGTCCTCACAGGGCTCTAGCCCCACCATGGGCTCAGCAGTACAAAACAGATTTCCCCTCACACTGCCGTGTGTTGGCCTGATTTTAAGAATCAGTAGCTCAGTTGTGGGCATGGTGCAATATCCCTAAAATGACCAATCATAATATGTCCAGTCAATAACTTGGAGACCTTTATTGACTCATCGTAGCAGCATATGACATTTAGCAAGCAAGCAAAGGCTCTCACCATACACTGTGCCCCAGGGATGCACACAGGAAGATGGACATCTGGCCAACACGTGATAGTCTTCTCTTGTTTATTCTTGTTTGAAGATAGTAGTCTCTTGCTTCAGTTTGTGGTGGTCTCACCTGCAGGAAGTTGCCGAGTGATGAACATACCCTCCCTTTGTTCCTTTCAAGTGTTATACATTCATTGTGCACCTAGCTGGTGCTCATTCATTGGTGGTCTGGTCTGAACTACCTTGTCCAGCCAATGGAGGTACTGTCCATGTGCATTTCATGCACCAGGTGTCTGGTAAGATGTGGCCATACAGTTGGAATCTTCCCATCCCCAGTTGGGACTTTTAGGTACCAGGACAGGTTAATTCCTGCAGTTGCACTCATCTTTTGAATGCATGGGAGATGGGTCTACTTCTCTTCACAAGGCTCATTAGACACTCTT